TCAGCTTGTGGTGAATATTGCCAGGCCTGGGTTTCTCCCTTCAGGGCCAGTGGGCTACCGTTTAGCCTAGGGCCAGTCCAGAAGTGCTATCCAGGAGCCAAGGCCTGGAATCAGGGACCCCAGGAGTCTGCTTAGTGCTCTAGCCTACTGTGGCTGAGCTGGTACCCAAGCTGCAAGACCAAGCCCCCTTTACTCTCCCCTCTCCTCTACTCAAGCAGAAGGAGCCTCTACCTGTGGCCACCACAGTTGAGAATGTGCTAGTTCACACCTGAAGCCAGCATGGCCCTGAGTTTCACCCAAGGCCCACAGCAAGTACTGCCTGGGTAGTGTTGATGGTTATTCAAGGCGCAAGGTCCTAGTCAGCAGGTGATGGATCCTGCCAGAACTAGGTCAGTTTCCCTTCTGGCCCAGGGTGTGTCTAGAAATGTTGTCCAGGAGCTAGGGCTTGGAATGGGGGCCTCAGGAATCTGGTACCCTATTCTACTGTGGCTGAGCTGGAATCCAAGTTGTAAGACAAAGTCCTTTTTATTCAAGACCAAGCCCCCTTTCCTCTCCCCTCCTCAAGGGAAAGGAAGGAATCTCCTGGAGCTACAAGCTGCACAGCCTGGGGTTAGAAGAGGAGTGACAGAAGCACTCCCTTGGCTGCCCTGGCTGGTGTCTCACTAGGTCATGGGCCCCCCAAGTCCACTGGCTCCAAGCCCAGCACAGCACCAGGAATTGCCCTGGAATTGCAGTCCTTGTGGCCTAGACTACCTTTCAGGTTTGTTTAGGACCCCAGAGGCTTTCAGCCTGTGGTGGCAGACAAGGCTTGCTGGAATTCAGGTTCCAACTGCTGGGATGGGTGATTCCCCTCTGGCTAAGGCTGATCTAAATACTCCCTCCTTGGGCGGTGGCTGAATTCTTTACTGTGTTGCTTTCTGCTGTGACTGGCAACACTGAGTTCCAGTGCAAAGTCCCACAATCACTGCACTCTCCCTCCCCAGGGGATGAGGGAGGGGAGGCATCAGCTATTCAACACTATCTTTCCTACCCTGTTCAGTGCCTCTTTCAGTGATAGGAAGTTAAAACCAGGTACTGTGATAGCTCACCTGATTTTTTATTCTTACGAAGGTGCCTTCTTGTTTGGATAGTTGTTCAATGTGGTGTTCCTAAAGGGTGGGGGAAGATTGCTAGAGGGTTCTATTCAGCCATCTTTCTCCACCTCCCTCCCAGTCTGAGTTTTAATTCAAGTAAATCCCTTTGGGTGAGGCAGAAAGTAAAGTGATTCTTGTCTCCATGCTGTTACCGAGAGAGGCCTAGAACTAAGCAAATGTTCACAGCTGCCACCTGAATCCTTTAAACCTCCAGGTTGGAGCCTTTCTATAATTTAAGGATTGAAATGTCACATCCCTCTCTGTTAGTAGAGTTAGACTAAAATCTTCAGTGAGAGAAGCAGAAGCATAATCTGAAGTCTCTCGTGGAAACATGAATTGGAAAAGTTGTATAATGTAAGTTGACACCAGCTGGAAACTGGTGCCTGATGACTAGAAAAACTTCCCTGTGCACTCTCTGAGTCATGCTGTAAAACACCATCTGTTGTCTTTTCTTTGGACAGCTTGTTCTCCATTGGCCTGGACTTTGTAGATAGGATTAAATTTTATGTTAAAATATCATGTTTGGGGGACAGTCTGGTTTTCCAAGTGATTTGTGTCTCCTGTAACTTTGGAAACCCCTCTATCTGTAGGAAAATTCATTTCCTATAGTTAACCTTTGCAAATGAAAGGCTGTGGTGTTTGACCTGAGATGCTGCTTTTTAAAGTAATGCAATTTTAGCATTACAGTGATTCATGAGAGGCCATCTAGTCTAATTTTCAACTTATGTAGGGAGTGTTCTCTACAATATCTCTGAGAGTTCATTGTAGAAATGTAAATAAAAAGAGCTCCATTGTAGAAAAATAGTCATCACAGAAAAATAGAAACATACAGAAAGGTATGTTTCACCACAAGTAAAAGTCTGGCAGGATCTCTCTGAAAACACTTCAGAGTGCTATTCATTGGCTTGATTATTGAACCATGATGTTCCTCAGCCTCTTGGATCAGAAACTGGATTTAGTCAGCAAACCTAGAGTGGATCCATATTTCAGTATCAGATCCACATTAATCAAGCTCATTATAAACCCAGTCTCCCAGTGCCAGAGGAAATGGTGCCCTTACATTGTATCATCAATCCACTCTTATAGAAAAGTTACATGGGAAACCAAATCATTAGAGGCAGTTTAATGTATAATGGAGAACTAATGACAGCTGTCAAAGTACTTGAAATTCATATCACAGTACTTCCTTTCACTGCAAGCAGACATTTGTGGGCATCAAAACTTTTCTTTTTCTAGCCTTCCAATTGCTGACCATTCCCTCTTCACTTCCAGTTCTTGTACCTCCGTGTAGCTCAACTACTGTCAATGGTGGTCATCCAACCTCCAAATATATCAATGGAGAGAGGATAATGGAAAGAGGCAGCTTGATGCCTGAACTACACTTGGATGGCACCGGTTACTCCACGTTTCTTATGCAGAACTGAAATCTACTTCCTGGAGCTTCTATCTGTTGATCTCAGCTCTTCTCGCTGAACAGTTGTTTACCCTTCTATATTAGTCTTTTGGTCACTTGCAAATGGCAACTATATATATTCTTAATATTTTCTTTTCCAGATTAAATATTTTCAACTCCTCCATTGTTGCTGGAACCTTCACCGACTTGGTTGGCCTTCTCCAGGCATCACCATTTTACAGTCACCACTTTATAATTCCCTCTTAAACTGTGGTGTCTCAATTATCCATAGTGCTCCAGATACTATCTAATCATTTCAGAACACAGTGAAACTCTTGTCTCTTCCAGTCTGCTCAATTTTGCTTCTGTAAATGTAGCTCCATATTATGCTTTTATTTAACCTTCTCTGTCATGCTATTGACTGAAACCTCCAAGTCATAAACCTGGTATCCTCAATTTTGTATTTAGGCTATTGTTTTTTGTTTGTTTGTTTGTTTTTTAACTTAAGTGCAAGGTTTTGCATTTATCCTTGTAAAATTTTATTGAACTGGGCCCATTCTTCTAGTTGCAGGATGATTGTGAGTCCTGCCTTTTTTTTTTTTTTTTTTTGGTAATTAGCTATGCCCAGCAATGCATGATCCATACTTTTTCTTTTTTCAAGCCAGCCTGTTTCATTTTCAGGAAGTCATTAAAAAGTTTAACAGAGCAAAGTCAAGGACTTTGCCATAATTTTTGCTTTCTATCATCTAACTGGTCATCAAGTGAAAAAGAGAAGTGGGGTTAGTTTGGGATGATTTGCTCTTAGTAAATCCGAGTTGTCTTCTTGGGATTACCATGTGGCTTTTTAAAGTGCCCATAGTTCACCTATCGAATAATTTGATCTCTGACTTTACTGGGCAGCAGCATCAAGCTTGCCCCTTTGTAGTTTTCTCCCTTTTTGAAAATTGGGTCATTGTTTACTACTTCTATTCTGGTTTTTCATCTGAGTTCTACCATAGTTGCAAACTTCATATCCTAAGTGTAATTGCCCTGGGCCTGGAGGTTTGAACCTATTTAAAACAACCTTTTTAGAGCTTTGAATACTTACTTACAAGTTTATTTACAAGTGTTATTTACAAGTGTCCCTTCTAGTTTAAATAAGACTAATTCCCTAATGGAATAGATGGAAGCAAAATAGATGCTGATTAGTTCTGATTTTAGTCCATCACCCCATAACATTATGCTGTTTTTTCCAAGCCTATGAACTATGAGCCTTAGTTCATTATGTCTCTAGCCTTCCTGACAGGCTTACAGGTTGATACCACTTAAAAAATTTTAAAACTGTTATATTTTCTTTCTGTCTCTTTTATGTAGTCTTTAAATCTGAGTTTATCTGGGGACTACCTGTTTTAAAGAAACTGAATTGCTTCCATCAGATTGTAAAGAGGCAGAAAAAAAGAGAAACTAAATTGCTTTATTTTGATTTGTTTTCTCATCAGGATTTTTCCAATCGTATAGTAGAATTTCTTTTTACATTCTTTCATTCCTCTTGAACAATAGTCACCCTTATTCATCTTTAGCCATGGGTTTGTAATTCCTTTTTTCCTGCTCTCTTAAAGTTTAGGGAACATTTAATCCTGTGACTGTTTCAAACTCCATCTCTGTCTCTTGATTAAAAAGAGCTAAGAATGTGAAAAGGAGTTAACACAATTCCTAGCACATAGTAATGTTATTTTTCCCCTTTTTTCCTTCCCCTGCCACCTGTCTGTAGAGGCTCCTAAGTTGGAGTACTTACGTCCATTGGGAGACCCTCATGGCTATCATATGAAGCCAGTAGTTTAGGCGTCTTCTTTTTCATACCTTCATGTTATTTCACTGTCACTGTATTCAGGTGCAAACCTGACTCTCACTCCAAAGCACACCATGAGACCTCCTATCAGTACTTGGTCATACACTTAGGAGGTCTATCTCCTTTGATTTTTCTTTCGGACCTCCCGTCTGATTCATCTTGCTAAAAACTTCATCAGCAATTTTAATAGGCTGCAGTCTGGAAACTGTTCCTTGACTGTTAACATCTTCACTAGCAGAGCATGTACCTTGTGCAAAATATGGCTCTAGCTTGAAGCAAAAGCACAAGCATAGAATATCCCTCACAGGTCTCTGCAGCTCTTCGCTTGGTACATTTGTCAGCTATCCTGAAGAATTAACATTCTTCGCAACTCCTAAACATTTTACTGGAAATTACACTGGAAAGTATTCCTTGCTATCTGTAAATCTCCTTTTCCTGCCCTCTCCATAGGCTAATGGCTTTCTAACTAACATCAATGAGCAACTGGTAAATTCCTTTTAGATCTTAAAACAGTCTCTTAAGCCACCTTGCAGTACCTTCCTAATGAGCACCTCTGTGTTTGAAAATATAACACCAGTGTTTTATATTGGGGCAGGGGGACCAAGAATTTCATCTATTTTGTTTTTATCTTTAAAAACAAATGCAGGTTGATGAGCCAACCCTTTCCTGGTCACCTCCATCCACTAGAGCGAGCGAAGTAGTATGTTCCACCAACGTTTCTCACTATGAGCTCCAAGTAGAAATAGGTAATAATTCTGAATTTCTAATTGACCCTTCAGTGTTAGAAATTAAATTGATGACAAAAACATTATTTTGTAGACAAGTTTTTTCTGTTGTTACCTCCAGCATAAAACTAGATGCTAATTGTGTCAGTCAAGTGGATTCAATTAATTTATGTCTATCTTAAAATAATGACTCAGATTTTTTCAGGATTACTGTCTAGAACGTTTACTTTTCCATTGCAGTACATTTACATGAGGAAGACACTAAATACTTATTATTTGTGTGTTTATTGTGGGAAGCATCTATTTTATGGGTATAATTTTTACTGGGTATGAAGTAAAATCAAGTCAGATAAATCTTTTCAGTCACAGTCCGTTAACTAAATTGCTTCTTAGTTTAAAAATTTACCTAAAATCCCATTTGTAATAGAAAGCTTTTTCAGTTAAGTGTGGAATAGGATGGGTTATTGTTTATAGCTCTACATATGTGAAACATTTGCTCTGAATATTCAGAAACATCTGTTAAACAAATAGGGGAACAAAGCATAGGAGAACACTTGGAATTGACATCATCTCTAGGAAGATGAAGACACAATATAGTACTTTAGTAGAGGTATGTCCTAAGTGTTATGGGAACGGAGAAGATGGAGCATACAACGAACCACCTCTGGGAGTTAAGAGAAATGGCAAAAAGGGGCTGGATCTTGAATGAGGAAGAGTTTGCTAGATATTCTAGTCATAGGTTTTGTTATAGACAACATAAACAATCCTGGCTAACTTAAGTGAAAAAGGAATATTTGAACAATGCTGCTAACTCACAGAATTATTGGCTAGAGAAATAGGTTTGGAAGAAGCCAAGAGAAGCTGCATAACAAGAACCAGGACTGTGGAATAGGAGCAGCCTAGTGAATGTACTGCCCGCCACCAGACGCTGGCCCACTGCAGGAAGCTCTGACGACTGCTGCTGCTTTGTCCTTCACTCCATGCTCCAGTTGGCCAAGCATAGGTCACATACCAAGGTCAAGGAGACTAAGGGAGAGTAAGGATCTAACCTTTTTGAAATAACACATAGTGGCAAATGCCTCAAAATTAGAAAGGAGTTTCAGATGGTGCCAATTCTAAAAAGATGAAAACATGTTTACCTCAGTAAATGACTGAGGAAGGATGGTTAGGGGAGAATACCATATAGTTCCTCTGTGACTACAAGTGGGGACAAGGGGAGAGTAGGCAGTGGTAGGAGATGAATCTGGAAAGGCAGGTTTGGAACGCGTTGTGAAGGACTTCATGTGGTTGGATTTAGAATGGTGTCCACAACCTACCCTCCTTATTACTCAGATGATTTAAGGTGGAGATTTGGAATTTACTGTCCTTCTGCTAGAGAGACATTGTGGAATCATGATGACAATAATACCATCTAACAGGCATGATGCTGAACATTTAGTATGTATTTTTTTCCTTTAACCCTTTGCCACTCCCATTTCGCAGATGAGGACACTGAGGCCCTGAGATAGTCATACAGTTAGTGATTTGAAACCAGATCTTTCTGACTGTAGGATCTAAGCTCTCAGCTGCTGCAGGACCTGCCATTGATAAAATGCCAAATTTAAAACAGCTCAGGCAACAGTCAGGAAGATGTAGTAGATCAGCAGTGCACAACCAGAAGTGTCATCTTCATTACCTGTGTCTTTTTAAAAATTACAACACCTATATTCCATCATAGAGCTACTGGACCAAGGTTTCTGGGGTGTGGGGTCAAGGCAGAGGCATTTTATAGTAGTTCCCTCAGTAATTCTGGTGTGTGCCCTGGCTGAGAATGCAGGGCATATGAGGGAGTCACTGCATACATCCAGGGCGACAGGATGGGGCTCAGACTAAGTCAGTGACGCTGACACTGAGGAGAGGAGATGAATTTGAGATTAACTTCATTTCAAAAATAAAACTGACAAAATTTGGTGACCATGGAGAGAGGGAGTTAACTAATGTTTATTAGGTGGCTGCTAGCAAGTGCCACTCTAGGTGTTTTACATTTAAAAAGCTGACGATACCAAATGCTGGTGAGTATGTCAGGCAGTGACAGCTGTTATACATTGTTTGTGGGAATGTGAAATGATTCAGCCACTTTTGAAAACAGTTTGGCAACTTCTTATAATGTTAAGCATACATTTACCACATGACCCAGCAATCTTACTCGTAGATATTTGCCAAAGATAAATGAAAACATATGTCTACCTATACATTATAGGTATAGGAATGTTTTTGGCAGCTTTATAGTCACCGAAAACTGAAAACAACCTAAATAACCATCAGTATTATAAATGGATAAATAAATTGTGGTATAGCCATACAATTGTTTATTGCTCAGCAATAGAAATTAATTGCTGATACATACAACAACGTGGATGAGTCTCAGAAGCATATGCCAAGCGAAAGAAGCTAAACACAAAAGAAGCTGACGACTGTGTTCTTTTTGACGCCATTTATGTGACAAAAATCAGATTGGTGGTTGCCAGGGACTAGGAGTGGGGACAGGGGATTGCTGAGTAGCATTCCATTGTGTGAGTATATCGCAATTGGTTTATCAAGTCACAATTTTAGTCATTATAATAGATATGTAATGGTGTGTCACTGTTTTAATTTGCATTTCTCTATCTTGAGCATCTTTTCATATGCTTACTGGCTGTTCTTATATCTTATTTTGTGGATTGCCTGTTTAATCCTCTGCCTGTTTTTTAATTGGATTGCTTGATAAGTATTATTAATACTTTGAATGAGTAGTGTGCCTTTTCATTTTCTTAACAGTACTTTTTGAAGAGCAAGACTTTTCAATTTTGATGAAGTCTAAATTGTCAATTTTTTTTCTTCTTTGGTTACTAACATGACTTTTATGCCTGATTATAGGAAGAGGATTTGACAACTTGACTTCTGTCCATCTTGCACGGCATACTCCCACGGGAACACTGGTAACTATAAAAATTACAAATCTGGAAAACTGCAATGAAGAACGCCTGAAAGCTTTACAGGTAACAATATGAAGAAAATGATACACAGTTGGCCCTCTGTATCCACTGGTTCCACATCTGCAGATTCAACCAATTGTGAATAGAAAACATATATTTTAAAATAAATAATACAATAAAAAATAGTACAAATAAAACACAGCATAACTATTTACATAGCATTTACATTGTATTAGACATTATAAGTAACCTAGAAATGATTTAAAGTATATAGGAGGATGTGCATAGCTTATATGTGAATATTATGCCATTTTATACAAGGGACTTAAGCATTCTTAGATTTTGGTACATTCATGGGGTGGTGTGTGGGAGGCGGTCAGGGGATGCAGTCCTGGAACCAATGCTCCATGGATATTAAGGGGTGATTGTATTTAATATAATGTTTATTTGAGGAGATTACATCTATAAGAATTTTCTCCCCCAAACTAATAATTCTTCTGTTAGGGAAATATAGATTTCTTCTAATTAACATGCAGTTACAGAATTGGAAAGAATATTTGGAAGCCAGATTCATTATATGAAAGAACACATGTATTCCAACTTTGGTAACTGCTGCTCCTTCAAATGAGTATCATATTCAAAATGCAGGTCTGGAGTTTTACAATACCCCTAGTTAGTCCCATCCTAAATAGTCACATAGGGCAATGGAAGAAATAAAAAACAGTTTCCTTTTCATCCAGATAAGCAAAATTAATTTCCAAATGACAAATTTTGACAGAATTGCATTTCAGGTATCTTATAATACCATTTTTATTGTCACTAATCATTTTTGATATAAAGGGGGAAAGGATTTTATTTGGATATTGTTCCAATTCTTAAAATATTTATATGTGCACATGTATATTACACAAACAAAAAAAAGACTAGGAGAAACCGTATGAAATGTTAACAGTGGGTCTCTGTGAGGTGGCAATAGAGGGATTTTTAGGTATTTTAAAATGTTTTTATAATAAGAACATAGTACAGTTAAGAGTATGACCCTAGAGAGAAACTAAGTTCACATTCTACTTCCACTTCTTTTTATTAATTGCATGCTTTTGGACAGGTTTTCTAACTTATTTTTAAGTGCTGTCTTCTGAAAAATGGGAATCATAATATCACATACTTCGTGGAGTGGTTGTGAGATTTAAATAGATAAAAGCACTAAGAACAGTGCTTTCACTAATGAGCGCCCTTGAGTATTAGCTGCCACGACTGCCATTTTCATCATAAGGAAAAAAGGGTTATTTTTAAATGTCTTGTCTCTTGTGTGTTTATCCTAGAAAGCCGTGATTCTCTCCCACTTTTTCCGGCATCCCAATATTACAACTTATTGGACAGTTTTCACTGTTGGCAGCTGGCTTTGGGTTATTTCTCCATTTATGGCCTATGGTAAGAATGCTGGTTTTAAATAATTTAGCCTAGATGTTATAATTATATAGATGAGTTGGGATTTTAGATTTATGATTTGCCACATTTAATTTATAAGTCTAATGACTGATTTTAGATTTCATGGTATATTTCTATATCTGGTGCATGTTGAATTTTAGTTTGCAGAAAAAGGTAAGAATTGGTATGATGATCAGTGAACCACCACTGCTTTTCCAAGAATTCCATGCCTTTGCACAGGCTGTCTCTTCCCTTCAGCTTCCTACCCCTCTTTTAATGGAGACCTACTGTTATTCTGCAGGAAGAAGTTGTTTTTCCACCTCTGCACCCCATCCCTGTCCCTGTTACACTGCATTGTAAACTATTTCACTGTATTAGAAACATCTTTGTGTGTGCCCATCTCCCTCACTGCTTCTTGAGGGCCAGGATCATTTATATATTTTTATTTGTGGTGTCCCCAGGTGCTCACATAGTACTTAGCACAAAGTTGTGTTCCATAATTGTGTTGAATAAATAGTGAATGGATTCTGGAACTTTGATTTTTAGCACAGCTTTTGTGAATTGCTTCTGGATTTAAGAATATATATATATATATATATACACACACACACACACACACACACAGAATGTATTTTTATTCAATAATATTGACAAATCATTAATTCTCTTTACTAATCTCTAGAGTGTCATTAGAAAAAATTGTTTAAAGATTCTTGAAAGAAAATCATGTTTGTGTGGGAAAGTGTTGTTTGGGTTAGACTCCAAAAAGTAACAGATATGTTTGTGTTTATGGTTGAAGAGAACATTAAAACACAGCTGGAAGCAAAATCACTTTCAATGTTCATATAAGGATTTTAGGGGTTTCTTTCAGGTTCAGCAAGTCAACTCTTGAGGACCTATTTTCCTGAGGGAATGAGTGAAACTTTAATAAGAAACATTCTCTTTGGAGCAGTGAGAGGGTTGAACTATCTGCACCAAAATGGCTATATTCACAGGTATTTACTTATTTGTATTTTACTAAATGAAATAATTTTATTGGAAGAACTCTCTGAAGGAGGTTTTAGGAAGGAGCAGTTGAATGTTAGAAAAGAGGGATAGGAAACTTGTAAGTGAAAATTGAGGGAGGAAGGGACCATTAGGTGCAATGGATTGCTTACATTTTATGTCCCTTCACCAAACATGTTCATACCACATCCTCTGTGCCAAGCAGTTCTTGGTGCTGGGCTGGAGTGCCTGCCCTCATGGAGCTCACAGTCTCAATCTAATGAGGATGTTCAGGAGATGAGCTGTAGGAAATGGGATCCTAGTTAGCTGGGTGTTTTTCATTCTGTTTTTGTTTAAGCAAATGAAGAGCTTCATTATCTGCTTTCCATCTTATATTATGCATAAATTGGAATTAAACTTTTCTTCGATTTCTTATTTTGCAGTACCTTGAGGTTATCATCCTAAATATCACTTCTCTTGTTACCAAAGTGTATATGCAAAAGTGATTGACTGAATGTTAAAAACAGTGCTGTTCTAAGATATACTGCGACTTTATCTTACTTTTTAATTAAGTTACCTTTAAATAAGCTTGCTTTCCTATTGTTTCAATCTCCTTAAAGCTTTTAGTCTTACTATTGTTTTTTCAGCAAAATTCTAGTTAACCAAGGATTTCCAACACACTATATTCTGGTTAACTGGGGTTTCATTATATGTCACCAGATGATTGGCCATCCTCCTCTGTTAAGTTTCCAAATTCAGTGTTTGGGATCGAAAAACAAGGCTCTTATAATTTATCTGACAATTAAAGGAAATGTATAATATATCTTTTTATAAATGATGTATGAGAGAGACTTTTACTGGATAGTATTACATTTAGCTTTAAAACCTTATATTTCAAATATTGTTTGATTTTTTTTTTAGGTAACACTTCTTAGGTGTTTTGCAACAGCATTCAAAAATAGTGAAATTGGCCAGGCATGGTGGCTCATGCCTGTAATCCCAGGACTTTGGGAGGCCGAGGCGGGCAGATCACTTGAGGTCAGGAGTTTGAGACTAGCCTGGCCAAGATGGTGAAACCTTGTCTCTACTCAAAATACAAAAAAAAAAAAAAAAAAAAAAAAGTAGCCAGGTGTGGTGGCACACACCTGCAGTCCCAGCTACTCAGGAGGCTGAGGCAGGAGAATCACTTGAACCCAGGAGGTGAAGGTTGCAGTGAGCTGAGGTCATGCCACTGCACTCCAGCCTGGGCCACAGAGTGAGACTCTGTCTCAAAAAAAAAAAAGTGAAATTAATTATTTGATTCCATTCCTTGTTTGAAAAAATATTAACAGTTCTTTTTTTTTTTTTGAGATGGACAGGGTCTCGCTCTGTCCCCCAGGCTGGAGTGCAGTGGCGCAATCTTGGCTCATTGCAAGCTCTACCTCCTGGGTTCACGCCATTCTCCTGCCTCAGCCTCCCAAGTAGCTGGGACTACAGGCGCCCGCCACCATGCCCGGCTAATTTTTTGTATTTTTATTAGAAATGGGGTTTCACCATGTTATCCAGGATGGCCTCGATCTCCTGACCTCATGATCTGCCTGCCTCAGCCTTCCAAAGTGTTGGGATTAGAGGCGTGAGCCACCGCGCCCGGCCATCAGTTCTTAACATGTAGCTTTCAATTATATATCTTTACTTGTGTTGGTGCTGTAGTAAGTAGTTGAGAAAGAATTCTTATTCCCTGAATATTTCCTGTGTAAACAGCAGTTTTGCAGTACTGTTTTGCAGTTTATACTGCTGTTTTATAAAGGGTATTTAATTTCCAAGAGAATATATGGATTTGTTCCTACCAGATTTTTATTCTTTCTTCATTGGCCAGTTTCCTATTACTTAGGGTTGTTTCTCTTTGTTCTAGGAGTATTAAAGCCAGCCATATCCTCATTTCTGGTGATGGCCTAGTGACCCTCTCTGGCCTGTCCCATCTGCATAGTTTGGTTAAGCATGGACAGAGGCATACGGCTGTGTATGATTTCCCACAGTTCAGCACATCAGTGCAGCCGTGGCTGAGTCCAGAACTACTGAGACAGGTCAGGTGTGGCCGTTGCATTGGGTTTTCTGTGTCTCAAGTGTCTTCTGAGTTTGACTGAAGTACAGTTGTGACTATATGTGGATTGGTGAATGGCCTTCTGCAAGACTTTATTTCTCTTTCTTGTCAAAATTATGTTAGGAAATTAAATACCATATATTAAGTGTGTCTTGATTTGTCACTTATGGGTTTCTTTTCCATTATTGTTCACCATTCTTTATCAAAAAAGCACACATGTATAACTTTTGGTTAACTTATTTGCACTAAAAGACTTCAAATTAATTGTGTCCTACAGGATTTACATGGGTATAATGTGAAGTCAGATATTTACAGTGTTGGGATTACAGCATGTGAATTAGCCAGTGGGCAGGTGCCTTTCCAGGACATGCATAGAACTCAGGTAAGTGCTGCTAAAATCCCTGAACTACTTCCCTTTCATAAGATTGCTTACATTCTAGATAATTTCTGTTAAATACATTTGCTATAGACTCTTAGGAGCTTTATTGTTACTGTTTTAATATTTTGCCTGGAAAGTGTTGAAGGAAAGTTCTGTTTCTTTTAGATGCTGTTACAGAAACTGAAAGGTCCTCCTTACAGCCCATTGGATATCAGTATTTTCCCTCAATCAGAATCCAGAATGAAAAACTCCCGGTCAGGTGTAGACTCTGGGATTGGAGAAAGCGTGCTTGTCTCCAGTGGAACTCACACAGTAAATAGTGACCGATTACACACACCATCCTCAAAAACCTTCTCTCCTGCCTTCTTTAGCTTGGTACAGCTCTGTTTGCAACAAGATCCTGAGAAAAGGTAATATTGATCTCTTCTAAATACTGCAAAATGTACGTGTTTTACATGTTATAGAAGCTTTGTAACATTGCCCTTCCAGGAGAATACAAATCTTTTATCAATGTTTTGATCAAAATATTGTCTAATCTAGAAAATGTCAGTGCTAAGAACAACTAGTAGGAACAAGGAAATGAGAATACTGGATTCAAAATCAGAAGAGGCTGGGTGCGGTGGCTCACGCCTATAATCCCAGCACTTTGGGAGGCTGAGGCGGGTGGATCGCCTGAGGTCAGGAGTTCAAGACCAGTCTGGCCAACATGGTGAAACCCTGTCTCTACTAAAAATATAAAAATTAGCTGGGTGTGGTGGCATGCACCTGTAGTCCCAGCTACTCGGGAGGCTGAGGGAGGAGAATCGCTTGAACCCAGTAAGCAGAGGTTGCAGTGAGCCGAGATCATGCCACTGTACTGTAACCTAGGTGACAGAGTGAGACTCCATCTCAAAAGAAAAAAAAAAATCAGAAGAGTTGGGCTCAGTCTCAGCTGTACCATTTTCTAACTGATTTTTACAAGAAAAATCAGAGTAAAAATCAGTTACTCTTTCTAGACATTAATTAGCACATTTATGTTGACTCTAAGCAGTATAAAAATGTAAATTGCTGCTACCCTACTAAGTTACTGTCAGTAAATACTGTGTCCAGTAGATGTTGAGTATAGATTAATTGAAGGATACCTCTACAATTATTCCCTTTAGTCAAGGTTGTAGCTAAGAATTGGGCTTCTGATATATATTCTTTTTAATTTTTTTCTTATTGGGTTTTATAGCTCTAAACCTAATTTCTAACATATTTATACACCTGAAATCTACATTCTAATATAAAGGTTTTTTTTTTATAACTTTCTTAAAAATTTCAGGCCATCAGCAAGCAGTTTATTGTCCCATGTTTTCTTCAAACAGGTGAGCTGATCTATCATCCGTTGTCTCGATGTTTTTAATTACTATTAAAAAGTCACTTTATTTTGTTGGCTTGATGAGATACTTTGGTTACCAAGGTTCTTACTAATAACTCTGTTACAAAATAAAGTTAAAAACAAGAAAACTTTTGGTAGTTCAATTACAGACTTTCTAAAATACTTTCATTCTTCAAAACAAAATGAGTAAAAACAAAATGGACTATCATTACATGTTATTGATGCTTGGTGTATATTTTGATTAATTTAGAGACATTTTCTCTGTTGGCTAGAAATGATGAAAGGGCAAAGTAATTCTGATAAGAAGTCAGTTTATTTGGCTCTTCTTCCTGTTTTCAGATGACTAGAATCAAAGGCAGTTTTAGGGGGAATACCTGAAAACAATTTTAAACACATTTAACATAAATTCTTTAAAAGTTATTTATTGCTAACAAAACTGATGTATTGAAATGATATATCAACAGCCTTATTTTGAGTTTCTTTAACAGATGAAAGAAGAAAGCCATGATTCAATACTTTCACTGTTGCCTCCTGCTTATAACAAGCCATCAATATCATTGCCTCCAGTTTTACCTTGGACTGAGCCAGAATGTGATTTTCCTGATGAAAAAGACTCATACTGGGAATTCTAGGGCTGCCAAATCATTTTATGTCCTATATACTTGACACTTTCTCCTTGCTGCTTTTTCTTCTGTATTGCTAGGTACAAATACCAGAATTATACTTGAAAATACAGTTGGTGCACTGGAGAATCTATTATTTAAAACCACTCTGTTCAAAGGGGCATCAGTTTGTAGTCCCTCTGGTTCCCACAGAGTACTATGACAACTCCAAGGAAACATCAGAATTACTAATCTAGCGAGTGTCATTTATTCTGGAATTTTTTTCTAAGCTGTGACTAACTCTTTTCCTCTCTCAATATAATTTTTGAGCCAGTTAATTTTTTTCAGTATTTTGCTGTCCCTTGGGAATGGGCCCTCAGAGGACAGTGCTTCCAAGTACATCTCCCAGATTCTCTGGCCTTTTTAATGAGCTATTGTTAAACCAATGGGCTGGTTTATCTTACATCAGACCCTTTTCTGGTAGAGGGAAAATGTTTGTGCTTTCCCTTTTTCTTCTGTTAATACTTATGGTAACATCTAACTGAACCTCACTGACATTAAATGATTCACTTGAAATATATACAGAAATTGTAATTTGCTTTTTTTAAAAAAAAGGGGGCTAAAGTAACACTTTCCTACTTATGTAAATTATAGATCCTAAATTCATGCACCCCGTGGGAGCTCAATAAAGATTTACTGAATTGAGTTTATGCTTTTATTTATTTTCCTTGCGTGGTTTGACAGAGCTAAAATACAGATTCTGATTTGTTTTGCCAAGAAAAGCCCTTTCTCAAGCAAATTCATTTACATAATCTATAATCAACTGAGTATTCGATTAAATGGAGGCAGAAGGCATTCTGGCCTTTTGTATGGTTATTGCTCCTGTAGGAGGTACAACATGAGGACATATTGCTCCTGTAGGAGGTAGAACATGAGGACATAGAGGTCTTAATTAATATTTCCTAATTTCCTAATTAGAAAAGAGACTCTGCCATGTCTCAAACTATGTATTCAAAAAGAATACATAGTTTGGAGATGTGGTAAACTGGGACCTACTTCAGTTGATTTTCTTAATTTATACAATCTTATTTATATTACATTAAAAGTTATTTTAAAATGATTATTTCAGGACTAAAAAATTAAAAAGACAAATAATATACAAATCTATAGGCCATTTCAAGCACAATTTTCTTCATGTTTATTGACTGGACCCGCTCAAGAATGAAGGTTTGGGTTACTCCATCTGTTAAGCCACCAAGACCCACCAAAGTGAAAGAATTTAAAATGGACAGTGGAAAAGGGAGAAGATGAAGACCACTGAGGCCCTAAGAGCAACTCTAGTGGTAAGGGCTATAGTTCATCCTACTAACCACCTCCTCCTAAATTTCCCTTCCGTAAGAGAGGCCCAGAGACCTTAGAGGTTCTTTCAAATCTGTGTGGAGGTTCTCCTAAATATGTGTAGTTTAAAAATTGGACCACAAAGGGCATGAAATGGTGCTTCTCAGATCTCCTACTATGGGGTGTATTAGGGTATTCCAGAGAAGTAGCCAATAGAATGAATGTGCATATATATCTACATTTTATATATATACATATATAAATGGATTTATTATAAGGAATTGGTTCATGCGATTGTGGAGGCTGACAAGTCCAAAGCTCTGCCAGGTGAGTTAGCAAGCTGGACGTCCAGAAGAGCTGATGGTGTAGTTCTCGTCCAAAGGCTGTCAGACTCAAGACCCAGGAAGAGTAAGTGTTTCAGTTTGAGTCCAAAGGCAGGAAAAAGCCAATGTCGCAGTTCAAATGCATTCAGGCAGGAGGAATTCTCTTTTACTTGGGGGAAGTTTAGCCTTTCTCTTCTATTCAGGTCTTCAATTGATTGGATGAGGTCCACTAATATTAGAGAATGCAATCTGCTTTACTTAGTCGACCAATTTAAATGTTGGTCTGATCCAGAAACACCCTGTGATGCTTAATATTAAGTGTCAACTTGATTGGATTGAAGGATGTCTAGATAGCTGATAACGCAGTGGTCCCAACTTTTTGGCACCAGTTTTGTGGTATACAGTTTCTCCATGGGGTGGGGGATAGTTTCAGGATGAAACTGTTCCATCTCAGATCAGGCATTAGATTATCATAAGGAGCGGCACAACCTAGATTGCTCGTGTGTGCACTTCACAATAGGGTTGGTGCTCCTATGAGAATTTAATGTGGCCGCTGATCTGGCAGGAGGCGGAGCTCAGGCGGTAATGCTCACCCACCCTGCTGCTCATCTGCTGTGACGCTGGGTTCCTAACAGGCCACTGACTCGTATGGGTCCATAGAGGGGTTTGGGGACCCTTGTGGTAAAGTATTGTTTCTGGGTGTGTCTATGAGGGTTTTGCCAGAGGAGAGTGACATTTGAGTCAGTGGACTGGGAGAGAAAGACCCACCGTCAATGTGGGTGGGCAGCATGCAGTCAGCTGCTAAACAGCTAGAAGATGGCGGCCAGAAGAGGGATAACCTTGCTTGCTGAGCCTTGAGGATTTCATCTTTCATCTTTCTTCTGTGCTGGATACTTCCTTCCACTCCTCCTGCCCTTAGACATCAGACTCTAGGTTCTTTGGCCTTTGGACTCTGGGAGTTGCACACGGGCCTCCTGGGGACTTTTGGGCCTTCAGCCACAGACTGAGGGCTGCACTGTTGGCTTTGCTGCTTTTGAGGCTTTTGGACTTGGACGGAGCAACTGCTGGCTTCTTTCTTCCTCAGCTTGCAGATGGCCGACTGCAGGACTTCCCCTTGTGATAGTGTGAGCCAGTTCTCCCTAGTAAACTCCATTTCCTATATTCATTAGTTCTGCCCCTCTGGAGAACCCTAATACATATCCTCACAGAGACACTCAGAATTATGTTATTTTTTGTTTATTTTTTTGAGATGCAGTCTTGCTCTGTCGCCCAGGCTGGAGTGTAGTGGCATGATTTCAGCTCACTGTAACTTCCACCTCCCGGGTTCAAGTGAGTCTCCTGCATCAGCCTCCCAAGTAGCTGGGATGCCGCCACCATGCCGAGCTCATTTTTGTATTTTTAGTAGAGATGGGGTTTCACCATGTTGGCCAGGCTGGTCTAGAACTCTTGACCTTGGATTCCCAAAGTGCTGGGACTACAGGCATTCAGAATAATGTTTGACCAAGTATCTGGGCACCTGTGCCCCAGTACAGTTGACACACAAAATCAACCATCACCATGGGTATCACCATGAGTGATGACTTCACCCTGTGAGTGCTTTCTTAAATTTTGTACCTTAGGCTCCTTGCTTGCTGTATTTCCAATGGCTACTGTAACAAATTGCCACAAACTTAGTGGCTTAAGCAACACAACTATTATTTTGAAGTTCTGGTACAGAAGTTTGAAATCAGTCTTACTGAGCTCAAATCAAGGTTTGGCAGGGGTCCGTTCCTTCTGGAGGCTCCAGAGGGGAATATGTTTCCTTGGCCTTTTCAGTTTTTAGAAACTATTCACATTCCTTGGCTCATGGCCCTGTTTGACCATCTTCAAAGTCAGCAATTTGGGGCTGAATCCTCATTCTGCCATTTCTCTGGTTCTCCCTTTGATTCCATCTTCTACTTTTTAAAGACCCCTGTGATTATACTGGGCATAGCGAGATAATCTGGGATAGCTTCCCTGTCTCCAGTCAGCTGATAAGCAACCTTAATTCTGTCTGCAATCGTAGTTCCCTTTAGCCACATAACCTAACATATTAACAGGTTCTGGGCCTTAGGATGTAGACATCTTTTGGGGAACATTATCCTACCCACCATACCTGCCTCATCCTATCCCTACCCCTGGCAGCAGGGATTGCAAGTCAAGCCCATTCCTGGGAGACAAAGGCCTTTTGTGATTAATGGCTTCGGCTGGAGCACTCCCCATCAGCCCGACTGAAACTTATTTAGAATGACACTGCAGTCTAAGCCATTTCCTATTCTGCCTTCTTATCTTCCTCCCTCTCTTCCACTTTGGTCAGACTTACATCATGGATAGCTCTCCCTGCCATCTTCTACTGCCTCCCTACTTTTCCCTCCCAGACTTTTCCCCTCAAAACATCTGTTGCAGGTGGTATTAATTTCCTATCACGGCTGTGACAAATTACCACAAACCCAGTGGCTTAAAATAATGCACATTTATTATCTGACAGTTCTGGAGGTCAGAAGTTTAAAATGGATTGGTAGCGCTACACTCCTTCCAGAGTCTCTAGGGGAGATTCTGTTGCCTTCCCAGATTCTAGAGGCTTCCTACTTCCTTCCCTCAGGGCACAGCACTGCTCCAACTTCTGCTTCTGTGGTCCCATCTCCTTCTCTGCCTTTTGTGATTATATTGTGCCCACCCAGATAATTTGGGATAATTCCCCCCATCTCAACACCATTGGTTTAATCACAGTTGCAAAAATCTCTCCTCACATAAGGTAACATTCACAGGTTCCTGGGATTAGGACATGGACACATTGGTAGGGGCCATGACTACCACACGTCTAATTTCATCTTGGTGTCTGCTTTTCAAAGGACCCAAACTAGCAGTCACTTTAGCTAAAATGCCCTCCTATGAGCTTCTATAGTACCTTCCCCAAAAAGCACTGACACAACTCTAATTACTTCTGTGTTTATGTTCCCAAAGGACTGTGGACTTCCTGAGAATATTGTCTTATTCACTGGTATATTGCTGTTTAGTAAAACTGTCTGGCGTATTGTAGATGTTTAATATTTATTGAATTCTTTCTTGAATTAAAGTATTTGAATTAAAAAAAAAGACTTTTGAAAATGTAAGAGATTTCCATGGTAAGAAATTTTAAATTCTTTGCTTGTCACAATATTGCCATTAAAAATTTAATGTGGCAAAGAGATTTGAGATTTCTATCTAGTAAATATTTCGTCCTTTACTGCAAGCCAGATCAATGGTTTCCCTCATAAGTACTGTTGGCCAGTTGCCTATTAGCTCTCAAGTTCATTTCTCCACCCTTTCCCTGTTCTGCTTCACTAGGATCTACGTTTCCCATGTACCCGCAATCTCTGGTTTCCAGGGAGGCAATAGTAGAAGATCAGAGAGCAGGACGAGAGAGGAGAAACATAGTGTATCTCACCCTTTGCCCCACTCCCCTTCTGCTTCGAGTGTCCCTGGCAGTGGCGGTATCGTCTTTGTCTCTAGCTTCAAGACTCCGGTAGCACCAGTGCCCCCTGCTGTCCTTTCCATCCAAGTGGTGGTAGCACTTCCCACTCTTGCTAATTCCTGGGTTGCTTCAACATCCCTTTCTGCTTCTTAGCCTTGATTCCATCACCCACAAAACCAACTCCCTGTATTCCTTCTACCTGAAAGATCTGGAGTTGTGTTTTCCCAGTTACAAGCTGACTGATACAAGTACTGACAACTTTGAGGATTATTGGAAATTCTTAGTCCCTATAAAAAATTACTATCCTGATTATAACACTGAATGATCAGGAATTATGTTTTCCATCAACCAATTCTATTTAAACCCCATAGTCATTATAACTTCTGGTAGAAAAGTAGAAACAAAAATTCTGTAAATCGAGTTTTGCTTTTCAAGAGTGGATCAAAGTTCAACAAGATCCAAATACTGTACTTACAAAGAAACAGAACCAATTCTCAGAAGTCTGATTTAAATCCTATGTTGATTTAGCTAGATTATATCTTATTCAGTTTCTACAATTTTATGCAGTTTCCCAAGTATGATGTTACTAAGAGGCCCTTTCACAGTTGTATGAGTAACTTAGAAAGTCACTGCTGTGTAAGAGATGCTTCAGGAATTAACTATATTCTTATTTTTATTGTGTAAAAAAATGCAATATCAGATGATGTTAAAATGAATAAAAGTTCAGCTGGGTGTGGTGGCACACACCTATAAATCTCAGTTACTTGACAAGCTGAGGCAGGAGGATCATTTGAGCCCAGAGTTTGAGACCAACCTGGGCAACATAGCTAGAACTCTGTCCCAAAAAAGTTAATAAACAAGGATAAGGCCCAGAGAATTGCAAACTGTTGAATCTAGAAATATAACTAGAGCTGAAGAGTAAAAGTATATATTCTTTTTTTTGTTTTTTCTTGCGAGGGGTGTCACTCTCACAACTCACTGCAGCCTTGGCCTCCCAGGCTCAGGTGGTTCTCCCACCTCAGCTTCCTCAGTAGCTGGGACCACAGGCGTGCTACCACGCCCAGCTGATTTTTTGTAGAGACAGGGTTTCGCCATGTTGCCCAGTCTGGTCTAGAACTCCTGGGCTCAAGCCATCCACTCGCCTTGGCCTCCCAAAGTGCTGGGATTACAGGCGTGAGCCATGGTGTCTGGCCTAAAAGTATATATTCAGAACAAAAGGCTGCACACATTGATAACCACAAATCACCTGAAAACTGGGTAGAAAGGGATAATTTACAGTGTAACAAAGGTTGGAGAAGTCAGAGAAAACCAAATTGGAGTGGTATTACATAGTAGAAAAAGTGAAAACTGAGAAATAAAACTTTGTTCATGAATATAAACTGAACACGTATTTCTGGGTCTGTTCCCTAAGCTTCATGAATGAAAACACATTTATATCAAATGTGTTTGTTTTTCATTTTAATCAAAACAAAATAGTTCTAACAAGATGAAAGTTGGTTGCTGACTTCTGTCACACAAAAGAAGAGATCTCCAAACCATTTTGTTAATGGAGAAATGATATTCTGACTGCTGGCCTCACATATCATTCTAAGTTAAACATGTTTTATAATAACACAAACGAACAAATATTTTTCAATATCCTCTTTTAATTTTTTTTGGCCGCATTTTTTGCATTTCATAATCTGATGTTTTATCATTTATATGAACTAAGCCTGATGAAACCATTCGACGACTTGTAAACTTTCCACTGTAGCTTTCTCGTTGCTTGTTAACCTCCGGAGCAGTGTATGGTCTTGCAGAGTGTCTGGCATGATTATGGATATCATCTGAGCTTTTTCCTAAAAGCCTTGATCTTGATTTTACTTTTTTAAGGTGTGTAAATGAGGTCATGTCATGTAAATCCTCAAATTTATCTGAACAATCCTAAGTAATAAAATAAAAGATCAGATTGGTAAATTAGGTTTCTTAAAAGTAGGTTTTAAATTTACAAGGACTTCTGATATGGATGGTCAAAAGAAAAAAGAAAAACATACAAGGACTAAAGTTTATAATAGCAACAGTTAAAGACAAAGAATGAAAACACTGGATGTTTCTTAGGCAGTCTCTAAATTCAGACCCTACACCCATGCCTCTCGTTAGATACTGTGCTAGATACTATGCTAGAAACCATGCTTTAAAAAGATCTTACTGTTACAAAGGATCCATTATTTCAAAAGATATTGAAGATAAGAAGCTAGAAACCTGAAAAACTTGAGAGCTGACCTCAGGGGACAGACTCCTAAGCAATGCTGGCCAGATTACTTTGTAATTTCTCTCCACCAAAATCTCTCTCCCCGACCCCAAATATAAATTACGAACTCTTATATTTTACTTTTTATGTCATCCAGAATTTGATCTTTCATCCTTTAATAACCATCTTTAATTTATATACATACAGAGAGAGGGAGAGTGTGTGTGCCACATCCGAGAATATGGTTGTAATGTTTACATTAAAAATAAAAAATTGCATGTGTACTCTGAGTAAACAAGTAAAACATTCAGTAAAATAACTGGAAGGATATATACCATAATAAATGATTCTTTTTCAAATTTTCTATTATATAGCTATATAAGGTATGAATCTAGTAGTTATCCTCAAATTAGGGTAAGCAATTTCCTCAGCAGTTTGAGCAGCTCATCTCATAATACTTTGCAAAGATAGCCACACCAAGGGAGTGGGCGGCTTGATTTGAACACAGGTGGGGATGGATTAATAGAACTGGGGGTCAGGGAACACTGGGCAGGACTAATAAGAATTAGGCAGTCAGAAAAAGATTTACAAAGAAGAATGTATAATGAGTCTAAAGATAAATTCTACCTATTTAACATTTTTGCCTGAGTTTGAAGAAGGCAAGAAAACATTCTTCCTCTTCCCTCTTATGTACACAAGACAATTAGGGAAGCCACACTGCGATGATTTATGCTATGTTAGTGAGTAACATAATTTTCCTTCACAGCTGATATAACCCATTACTGGAGTGGCAGTGGAAGGGCATGGAGACCCAGGCCACTGGTCACTTTTCTAGGTGCTCCTACGACTCAATTTCTCTCTCTTTTGTCTTGATTCCTTTGGGAGATTCCTGGATTTTAGAAAATCAGATGAGTAAGTTGTTCTGATCATCTGAAAAATGCCCGCTTACTACTCAATTATCTATCAGAGGAAAGTTTAACCAAGAGAAATAAAGATAACTGTATCTCCCTTGCCTCCTCTTAGGATAAGGGTTCTGAGATCCTATGTAATCTCATATCATTTAACATAACTGCAATTTCTTACTTTGCTTGAAAAGTTGTATTCAAGATTCCATTTGTCTTAAAAAAAATCAGAAAATCCTCTTTGAAAACTATGACCCCATCTTCTATCTTTTTTCCAAGTGTGTAGACACGTGTATATATACAAACACTCACCCTCTCAATACTAAATTTCCAAATTTAGATAGAAAAGAAAAATCCAAAATTGAAAGTATAAGCTGGTATTTTTACCCTGCCACTATATAGTTAATATTTAACTGTATAATATATAGTGTGTATAATATATAGCTATATAATATTTACCCTGCTACTATAAAGCAAATAGTTTGCTTTACTGTGGAAAATAAAATCAAAATACTTATGCAGAAATTAGATTTATTTTCTCAAAGGGAAAATTATGCACATCAAAGTATCAATTTAATATGAGTTTTACCTACTCATATTTACTTAGCAGTTTTTCCAATTATGGATCATGCCTGTTATGCATACTACAGGGAAGATCAGTGATTCAGAAAATTAAAAGTCCCTTCCATTCTAGATTTTAAATTTGCTTTAGAATGATTTGTATAAAGTCTAGTTGCAGATTTACTTTCCTAATTTTTTTTTTTTAATTTTATTTATTTATTTTTTTTGGAGACTGCTCTTGCTCTGTTGTCCAGGCTGGAGTGCAGTGGCGCCATCTTGGCTCACTGCAACCTCCGCCTCCTGGGTTCAAGCGATTCTCGTGCCTCAGTCTCTCAAGTAGCTGGGATTACAGAGATGCACCACAACACCCAGCTAATTTTTGTACTTTTAGTAGAGACGGAGTTTCACCACATTGGCCAGGCTGGTCTCAAACTCCTGGCCTCAAGTGATCCACCTGCCTCAGCCTCCCAAAGTGCTAGCCTTATAGGCGTGAGCCACCAAGCCTGGTCTCCTGATCGTTTTATGTTAATATTAAAAATATATTTGAATTCTCAAGTTTCTCAGCACATGATATAGCATGGTGGTGAAAAAAGAAAAGACTAGAGGTTAAATTCTTGCAATTCATAATCCAATGGATTGTAAATTTTACATATCCCTAATTTTTAGCCAGATAACTGGCACATAGGAGCCTCATATTTGTTTAACCGAAGCAAAGATAATTCAGCTATGTGAAGAAAAAAAAAAACCTCTAATAGTTGTAGTTAATCTCTATGAAAAGAAAATGTCAGCTGTGTTTCCACAGTATCGGGCCACAGCCAATAGTTGTACTAATTTTAGTCAGGGCTAAAATCCAGACAGTTTTCCACAATCAGGACTATGTACTCTGACTCTCAGCTGTGTCAGCTGGGAGAATCTGCCCAGAGGAAGAGGGCACCTTTTTCTAATTCACGTCCCAGATGATGGTGGGTTGGGAGGAAGGGTTGCCACTGTTTATTTCATAAAAAGGTAGTAGGTGTGTTAACAGTCTCCCTGATTTTGTGATTGCATTTTGAATCAGGTGAGGTGATATTTAAGTTTCAGAGGAATTTTTTGTTTTGTTTTGTTTTGAGACGGAGTCTCGCTCTGTCGCCCAGGCTGGAGTGCAGTGGCCGGATCTCAGCTCACTGCAAGCTCCGCCTCCCGGGTTCACATCATTCTCCTGCCTCAGCCTCCTGAGTAGCTGGGACTACAGGTGCCCGCCACCACGCCTGGCTAATTTTTTGTATTTTTAGTAGAAACGGGGTTTCACCGTGTTAGCCAGGATGGTCTCGATCTCCTGACCTCGGATTCACCCGCCTCGGCCTCCCAAAGTGCTGGGATTACAGGCGTGAGCCACTGCGCCCGGCCTTTCAGAGGAATTTTTAAATTGGAGGTCTGTATGTCTTGGGGGTAATTAAGGTTATACACACAGTTGGATGCAGATACACACACCCTAAATTATTGCCAGAACTTTGTCAAATACAGAAGTAGAAGACTTAGAAAAACATCATTACATGTATAGTAGTTCTTGCAGTCCAGTGAAGCAGTGTCCTTGGAACAGACTTCTTTAGGTGAATTCTTGTGGTGGGCAGTGTGGTTGGCAGTATCCTGACTATCTTGTTAAATGACTTTTTTGGTTTGGTGACACTGTCTCTTTCTTTTCGGACCTTGGGTTTTAGATCTTCTCTCTTAAATAATTCTGGGAAGAGGGATGGTTTCGAGTTTTTCTCATTTTCTACATCTTTATATTGGAATGACTGTATTTCAGGGAACTTGGCACATTTTTCAGTGCAAATTTCATCTGGTTTTATATAAAGAGTTTGTATTTCTTTTTTGTATTGTGCAAATGTTACTAAATGTTTTTTATTATTGTTATTATTTCCTTTCAGTCTCTGACAATAGTGGTCTTCTAATTTTGATTTTTCCTCAGTCTCTGTATTGAAATGAGTTAAAGTGCTAGTTTGCCAGGAAGGAAAAGTGAGTCTGTTTACATACTCATCTTCCCTTGGCATTCTGGCATTAGGAATTCTTGGATACGACGTTAATACTGCTTCAGGTTTTTCCTGAACAGTCCATTTATAGATGTTTACATGCTCCTTTCTATCAAGGGACTTCATTTTCTGTGTCCTTTCACACCAAGCTTTTGATTGAGTTATTTTTGATTTACCACCCCAACTATATGGGTCTTGAATCTGTGTTTTATAAACAGAATTTTCTGCTTGAGGAAGCTGCATAAATACATGTTCTTTCCTTAGTTTCTTAAGCAGTATATCTGTAAGTGTTTCTGATGAATTGTTTAATGGACTTGCCTGCGTATTTTTATTGGAAGAAGGTTGTACTTTGATTAAACTTGGTGTTTTAGCTTCTTCTTTAGTGTAATAACTTTTCTGTTCCCTAATTAAAGATGAATTTTCTTTTAAATTCTGTAAGGGAAAATATTTCTTTTCTTTCTCTCGAATCAGTTCTGTTTCTCTAAGTTTATCCTCAGAAACCGTTTGTAAAGTGGTTTGTTGAACAATTCTTGAATATTTATTTTGCTTTTCTGAATGCTTCTCCACAAAGTGATGGTCATCTCTAAAAGGTAAATGTGTCTTTATATATTTTAATGGTATAGAACTAGAATTAAGCAAATTTATATGCTGGTTGATCCCTTCTAATTGCCTTTTTGTCATTAGTCCTGATTTTGAAAGTTTTTCTAAAAAAAGACCCTGGAGGTGTTTGCTTAAATCAGCTTTTAGATGTAATAATTCATTTTCTGATAAAGCTATCAGATAGTTTTGTAGAGATTTACTTAAAGGATATTTCATGTTTATTTCAAACCTTCTACCAAAACTCCCCTTTGAAATATCTTGTTCTAGTTCATGAAAAGAAAGTGAGACACTTTTAGTCCTTAGAGAAGACATGTTTGGGTATATAGTCTCAGATTCTGTCTCATTAAATAAACTGCTTTCTGAAATGTTTTTTAGGAAATAGTTTTGGAGAATCTCATTTAAAAAAGACCTTAGCTTTATTTCTAAATGTTTATCTATGAAATGATGATTGAAATTTTTGACAAAAGACATGATTTCTTTCACAGTTTCAGAATATTTCCCCTGAAAACTGTTTGGCCCTTTCCGCTCTACCTTCTCATTCATCAGATACAGATTTCGGTAGATTTTTGGTAAGTCCTCCTTGGTGATATGTCCTGATTCTGAAAGTCTTTCCACAAGGTAATGCTGGATTTGTTTACTTAATTCAGATTTTAAATTTTTTACTTCTGACTCTGAGAGTTCTTCTAGAAACACACGCAACTTTGGACTCAAAATATGTTTTCTGTCTAATTTGTCTACTTTATCAAAATTCTCTTGGATTTCTTTAAGGTGTTCTGTGTCACTTGTAAAAGAAGGTTGAATTAGTCTTTCTAATTCTCTTTCTGGTTGTCGTCTTCTTTCAGATTGATTATATTTGAAAAAAACATTGAAGATGTTTTTTAAAAAGGATTTTAACATTATTTCATCTGATTCATTAAGTTTATCCATTAATGAGTTAGTTAAACTTTCTAAAGTAGAACTGAGGTCATTTTTGTCTTTACCAAGCCTCTGACCATTTCTTGGCAAATCCAGTTCTTTATTTGCTATTGAATAATAACTTGAATCTTGTGGGAACATATTTTGGTCTTCCTGTATAAATTCAACTCTACTAACAGAAGTAGTGTCTTTGGGAATGATGGGTATATTCTGCTCAGAAAGAGGTTCTGTTTCGCTTCTGATTTCTGAATAATACTCTTGGGAATCCTTCAGCTTTCCTTTAGGTGAAGTGATCCCCGTACCCAGCAAAGAACTCTTACGGCGTTCTTTATCTAATTCTATCACTTTGACTATCCCAGATTCTAAAAGAGTATCTACAGGAAATGCTTGTAATATCTGGCTTATAGCAGATCTGGGCTGTGGCAATTCTATTTTATCAGCATTATCTTCATGAAGTAGAATATGTGATGACAAACTTCTCTTCCAAGGTGTAGGTACTTGATTTTCCAAGTTCATTGGTGTTTCACTTGGCTCTTTCACTTCTACCTCCAATTCTGAGAATATTGGTGCAGTGAATATTTGCCTTATAATGTAGTCATGTACAGTGCCACTTGAACCTGATTTGGAGTTAGGTACTTCACTTATTAAATGTTTCTTTTTGATACTACTCTTTTTTTTAATTGGAAAATCTCTCTCATCAGCTTCGAAGTGTGTTTTAGAGACATATTCTTCTACCTCCGGAGATTGTCCTGGTCCACCTTCTGAAAAGGAATCTGCAGGAATATTTTTAATTATCTGACCCTGTTCTGAAAGTGAATATTCAGGAATATTTTTAATTACTTGACCACCTTCTGAAAGTGAATCTGCAGGAATATTTTCAGTTATTTGACTACCTTCTGAAAATAAATCCACAGGAATATTTTTAATTATTTGACTTAAAATAGTCTTTGAATTTAAAATGTCTTTTTCTGAAAGCCAGTTGTTTAAATCTTGTTTTTTTCCCAATATGTTGTCTTCCATACTACTTGATGATTTATCACGAATGCTTATAAGTAGAGAACTACTTTTCTCTCTTGCTTCACTGTTCATACTAACTTCTGGTTTAGAAAATAATTTGTCTGAAAGGTCTTGCAGATTTTTACTTAAAATTGACTTGAGTATCATTGATTGTTTTAAATATTCTATCTGGGGGGTAAAATTTAAAGACTTTGAGAGGTGACATGTATTTGCATGTACATTTCCAGCCCTTGATGATTCTCCTTTGAAACTTGGTAAAGATACATTTGGTAGATTTTCTTCTAAATTATTCTTTGTATCTAAACCCTTTATCGTATTGATAGTAGGGTCAGGGGCTAACTTATTCTCAGTTTCTGACGTCTTTGTTGTGAAGATATTAGGGTCATGGGCCCAGGTTTTATTAGCAGGTCCTGCAGTTTTTGATTGTGCTGGATAAGGAGGATCCTGGTCTTCGTGCTCTATAACCTCTGCACCTAAAATGTTTCTACATTTGTATATATCTTGATCTTTTCTTTTACTGACTGGCATTTTGTTTATATTCCTTAGAAAAGGATCAAAACCGTTCTTGTTGACTTTCTGAAACTGCAATGTTAAAAAAAAAAAAAGGTAAGACGTTTGGTAGCAATGATTTTGAATTTATTATACATTTTCTAGTTAATTTTCTTTGAGCAATCTGTCAATGTATCTATTTACTCTCCTACCCTCCACAAAGGGAGAAAATCAACTTTAATTATTTTAAAATATTTGAAATTGAAATAAAATATTTTAATGGAAAAATTTCAAATTCTTAATTCTGATGCTATTTTGTGTCCAAGTGCTTTTTGCTACTTGGAATATTTTTAAATACTTAAAAAGCCATCCATAAATAGTTTATTGTTAAGAACTTAATTTCTAGTGTTAGCTTCATTTCCTTAGACAGTAGCTAACATCAGGATCCAAGTCTCATCTACCTAAATATTTGCTACATTCATAGCAATGTAGGAAATATTTTTTTTTAAATTCAAGCAAGTAGTGAAAAGTACTAAAATGAAACTCACGAAAAGTATCAAATATTCTCTGAAAACTGACTTGGGGGCATATATCATCTGCCTTTAAGTCTGAGAGTTTCAACAATGATAATGAGCTCCACCCAGTCCTTAACATGTCACAGTTTAATCTTGCTTTTTGATGCATACTGTATAATGCCCCAGAAATGGGTAAGGGAGAACCATATAGAAAACTCAGGATTACAGTAAAATTTCAGTGTAATATTCATAAGCAGCTTTTTAGCTCTAGGATCAGGCTCTTCTATCATTGAAACAGCCTTCAGAATAAATATTCTTATTGAAACTCTTTTTTCATACTTCTGTGTTATCTAACTAAAAGAAAGCAAAATGTGAAAGAATCAGCCTACTATTTGTCTTATTTTATTTCAACTTAGTAGTTCAAAATTATTTTTAATGGATGCAACTTATTGTAACTGGTTTTCAAATTCTAGTGGATACCCAGATGACAAATTAAGAATCCCCTTAGTTTTTTTATTTTTTTTGTTTTCTTTTTTGAGAAATACAAATTCCCAGGTTCTGTTTCTGGGTTGAGATTCATTAGGTCAGAAATGGACCTGGGAATGTGTATTTTTTACAATAGCCAGGTGTTTCTAATGAGTAGCTTTTTAGAACTATTGAATTAAAGTATTGAAGAAACCTAGTAATTAAATATAATGATATTGGGATAGAATAATTCAGGACTCACCTGAAATTTTGGTTTGAATTCTATATATTCTGGTCTGAAAGATGGTGAATTATATTCTTTTGGTGAAAAAGCCACCTTATAAAAAAAGAAGTTCTAATTTTAGATTACTTGTAAGAGTATCAAGATCATTTTATTCTTGCAATAGTTATTAGAGGTATAAAATTTTTAAACCTAAATATTTTTATCATAACTATACTTGCCAATTATGAAAGAAATCTGTATATATATAATATTATATATGTGAAATATTGGCTTCGTTGGTATTATAATAGTCACCCTATTGAATTCGTAAACTCAAAATAATGCACAGCAACTTCAAGCAGAAACAAAAGTAAAAATAAAATAGAATTGTCAGAAGAAATGTAATCTGATTTGTATTGAATTTGTAAACTCAAAATAATGCACAGCAACTTCAAGTAGAAACAAAAGTAAAAATAAAATAGAATTGTCAGAAGAAATGTAACCTGATTTTTAAAAGGCTGTGAGATACCTTTAGACAATACATGGCAGCTCATAGTATATTGAGATAGCATTTTATTTATTTATTTATTATTATTTCGAGACAGTCTTGCTCTGTTGCCCAGGCCAGAGTGCAGTGGTGTGATCTTAGCTCACTGCAACCTCTGCCTCCTGGGTTTAAGCGATTCTTGTGCCTCAGCCACCTGAGTAGCTGGGATTACAGGCATGTGCCAGCACATCTGGCTAATTTTTATATTTTTTGTAGAGACAGGGTTTTGCCATGTTGGCCAGGCTGGTCTCGAACTCCTGACCTCAAGTGATCCATCTTCCTTGGCCTGCCAAAGTGCTGGGATTACAGGCATGAGCCACCGCGCCCAGCCATAGATAGCATTTTCAGTGATTATCAACCTGTCACTGTTAAATGAAGATGTAAAACTCCCCAAAGAAATACTTGAGTATTAAATCAAGATGTATGAGAACCATTACAGGATCACAAAACCATTGAATTTTTAGAAATGGAAGTGTTTTGGAGATAATCTAGTTCTAGTTCTTATTTTACACAGAATCTGAAGCTGAAGTTTCTTGTCCCAAATTACCCAGATGATTAGTAGCTTAAATCCTAGGTGTCCAAAGTTTTCATTGGGTACTCAGTTCCTCACACAATCCTGATAGCAGTGAGGGAGAATGAGTGGCTTTAGAAGCATCAGAATGTGCATCCACACTGCCAGCTCATACAGAGAGAAAACGTGACACATCTCTTTACAGAACACTTGGTACTTCAAATGACTCTCCTATACATTATCTCCTTTAGTCTGTAGAGGCTTCACTATGGACTAAATTAAGTAAAATAACAATTCAATGAGTAACATTTTTATTAGAGATACTTTTAGGTTGTTTTAAGGTTTAATTAACATTAAGCAGTTAATAAATGACCCTATTCTTAAAGCCTCAGTGGCTTCCCACTCATTGTCCTCACACACCAACTCTGTATTGTCTCTGCAAGTTTCTCAATATTTGCCAGTATGGTTCCTCTCCTCCAGCCAAATGTGTCTAACTCTGAATTCTTGACATACATCTTGTACTTCCATACCTATTCTTTTGTTCCTTTTGTTTTTCTTTGCTTAAATTTCTCCCAAATCTCTCTTAAACACAGTTGACATTATAACATTTGAAAGTTTATTGCTTTAAATGAATTTAATAGAAAAATCTAAAAAAGACACATGTATGATAAACAAGTGAAAGAACAAGTAGTAGAAAAATATAATTTCATTTTTGTAACAAACAAAGCAAACAAAAAATCCCCCCTACTACAAGCATGGACAAATGTGTGAATGGATTCAAAATGCTTACATTGTTTTCTCACGGGAGTAGCCCTGGAGGAGAGGAAGGAGGATGCTATTAACGTTTACTCTGTTTAACTGGGCATTATTGATTAGATGAACATATAATACTTTCATAAATAAAAAGCTTCAGTAAAGTAACATTGGGGGAATGTTCTAGGTATGCATGTTAGGAAGCTAGGAAGAGACAATTTAACAAATCAATACAGGAGCTTCAAGATGGCAGACTGAACATGTGAGTCTACTCTCCTATCTCCCAAGGTGCCAGTACATTAACAGAAAATATTATTTCACAAAGAAAGAACCATGGCAATACTGGAAATCAGTAAGGTGAGCTACCAGGATCTAGACCTTTGAGAAAATTCAGAAAATGTGAGAGTAGATATAATTGACTTAATGGAAAACCCCAATCAGAAAAACCATAACCTTAAACAATAGTTATTAGAGATGTAAAATCAGGGGGGCCTGAGAAGCAATACATTCCAAGTCAGTGTATTAATCAGGGTTCTCCAGAGGGACAGAACCAACAGGATATATGTATATATAAAAGGGAGATTATGAGGGAGAATAGCGCACATGATTACACAGCGAATTCCTGCGATAGGCTATCTGCAAGCTGGAGAAAGAGAGAAGCCAGTAGTGGCTCAGTCCAAGTTCGAAAGCCTCAAAACCAGGGAAGCCAACAGTGCAACCCTCAGTCTGTAGCTGAAGGCCTGAAAGCCCCCTGGAGACCGCTACTGCAAGTCCCAGGGTCCAAAGGCTGAAAAACCTGGAGTCTGATGTCCCAGGGCAGGAGGAGAGGAAGCAAAGCATCTAGCAAGGGAAGAGGGAGTGAGCCAGAAGACTCAGCAAGCAAGCTCATCCCTCTTCCTCTGTCTGCTTTGTTCTAGCTGAGCTGGCAGCAACTGGACAGTGCCCACCCACATTGAGGGTGGGTTTTCCTCTCCCAGTCCACCGCCTCAAATGTCAGTCTCCTCTGGCAACACCCTCACAGACACACCCAGAAACAATACTTTTCCAGCCCTCTAGTCATCTCTCAATCCAGTTAAGTTGACACCTAATATTAACCATCACGCTCAGCATACACAAAGAAAATCAGATCACGGGAACGTCCATAGTTATTAAAGAGCTGCATTTGGAACAGCTAGACCTCTTGGACCCTTCGTTATCACCCCTTTCTTTCTCTGTGCACACAGATCAAACACTGCTGGCAGCACTCTTTCCCCAGTCACTCTCCCAAACATCAAAAAACTGTTCTCTAAGGAGAATATGGCATATTCCTATGCAGAGATACAAGTTTTGGGCCTTGACAGGGAAGCAGAGTAAGGACTGCTGAGACTCACACTTCCAAATTAGAAAACTAAAAGGGGATTTGAAAAAAAGGGAGTTCCATCCAGGAAACACACTGGTTCTTTGGAAATGTAGAGAACTCAGTGATCCTACCTACCATCTTCCATCCCTACACACCCTCCAGGGAAGCCTGCCTAGCACATGGACAGAGCATACCTATACAATCAACATACCCCTCCATTTATAAACATAAAACGAAGTTTACCATGTATATGAGAAAAATTGATATATGTAAGTGAAGAATCAATAAGAACAAATGGAACTAACTCTAGCATAAATAGAAATATTTCTGAGGAATGTAGGAGGAGGGTGATCCTTGGAAAAGATTCTAAATAGCTCAGAGATATTCAAGAGAATATTGAGTTCCCTTTAGCTGTATGATGATTATCTCAAATTTAATGTATATAAAATACAATTTTAGATTAGGCACCACACTCCCAAAAAAGAAAACCCTTAGGCTTTCTGTTTTTCCTCTTCTCAGTTGATGATGCTTCTATCTCTGGAATTGTTAGGCCAGAAACCTAAGAGTTTGTATTCCTCTCCTTCTCCTTTCCATAACTAATCCCGCATTAAGTCCTGTGGCTGCTGCCTTCAAAGCAGATCAAGTATGACCAGGCGCGGTGGCTCACACCTGTAATCCCAGCACTTTGGGAGGCTGAGGCAGGCGGATCACCTGAGTCCCGGAGTTTGAGATCAGCCTGAGCAACATGGAAAAACTTTGTCTCTACAAAAACTACAAAAAATTAGCCAGGTGTGGTGGTGCAGCTTATGGTCCCAGTTAGGAGGCTGAGGTGGGGGATCACTTGAGCCCAGGAGTGGGAGGTTGCAGTGAGGTATGATCATACCACTACACGCCAGCCTGGGCAACAGAGTGAGACCCTGTCTAAAAAAAATTATATACATATAATTTATATATTAATATATATTGGATATATATACTATATATATAATTATGTGCATATATATCCAATCACCTTTTCCTATCAACCCCCCTACTACTATAGAACAAGCCACCATCATGTTTCCCCAAGCAGTAGTATCCTAAGTAGTCTCTTGCTCCCTGTGACAGAGAATGCTAGTTGCTTTCCTAAAATGTATTATCTCAAGAACTTACATTTTTTAAGGGGCAGAAATATCCCCTATCAAAAGCGCTACATCTTCTAGCCTCCTTTGCAGCCAGGAGTGGCCATGTGACAAAATTTTGGCCAACTAGACATAATTGGAAGTTGCTGAGAGAGTATCTTAAAACAGAGGCCGATGGTCAGGTGCAGTGGCTCACACCTGTAATCCCAGCACTTTGGGAGGCCAAGGCGGGTGGATCATGAGGTCAGGAGATCGAGACCATCCTGGCTAACACGGTGAAACCCTGTCTCTACTAAAAATACAAAAAATTAGCTGAGCATGGTGGCACATGCCTGTGGTTCCAGCTACTTGGGAGGCTGAGGCAGGAGAATCACTTGAACCCAGGAGGTGGAGGTTGCAGTGAGCGGAGATCACATCACTGCACTCCAGCCTGGAATACATGTGATGCCTGGAGATATAAAGTCCATCTGGTGTTACCCTTCAGTAACATACTCATGCTGAGGATGGCTGTCCATAAAGAAAAGGAATCTGGGCCCCTGATGACATCATGAAACCACAATATTACGATTTAAGGCACTGTTTAAGTTTTTGTTACTCATGCTTAACATGTTACTCATGATTAACTCATGTTATCATTAACATGATTAATCATGTTTAATCAAGTTAAACACTATTCTTAACTGAAAAACTTCTACGCATACTGAAATTTATTCTTACAGTAGAATAAAGCTAGAAATCAGTAATAGAAGAAAATTAGAAAATTCACAAACATTTGGAAATTAAACAAAAAATTCTTTAAAAACCAATGTGTCACAGAAGAAATTACAAGAAAAATTAGGAGAT